ACGAGGACAAAGCAGCGTAGATCAGCACAGCAGAACTGAGCGCGAGGCGAGTGCAGCGAGAATGCGAGATTCAGCGCCAAAATCAGTCATGAAAAAAAGAAGAAATATATATATATATATTTGTTTAGTTATTATTATTTATTATTATTATTATTATTATTATTATTATTATTATTATTGCTACTATGATTGCTATTATATGTTGTTATTATTATCATTAAAATATGATATGGGATATTTGTTCTTCATCGAATTGAGGCAGTGTGATTTTTCGACTTCTAAGCGCGAGAAAGACAAAGGCAAGGTGACGCGACCCTTCCAAATTGCAAAGACCTAATTTTCTTAATTTATTTCGGCGACAATCTAAACAGTAATGTATATAAGAATGACAATAATAATGAAAATAGCAACGACTCTTATCCGTTCTCATATTATCCTCTTACTATGTGTCTCATATTAGAACTGTCATAAAATAAAAAATCTGTGGACAGCTAATAGGAACTGATTCCGTAATAATTATATTGTTGTTAAGTGTGTCTGTGTGGGAGCAGAGCCAAAATTGGAAAGTCAGTCCTAACCATTGACTTCTTGCTTATGTTCACTACGTCCATATTTATAATTGTGAGATGACTTCTAAGGATGAGGTCAAGTACTGACCCTTTTATTTTCTATTAAATAGCTCATTTTCAGTGTGTTTTCGCGTCTACCTAACCCAAATTCGTCAAAACGTATGAATTTCAATCGTTTTCATTAGAGTTTTCATTTCGTTGCATCTTATTCATCGGTTATTAATGTTGTTGTTGTTCTTTTGAGTTGTTCGGTCCATACATACAATTTTCTGCCCTTTAAATTTTGTTTGCTATGTGATCAAGAAGAGGAAAAGTTCGGAAATTTATTTTAGTTTATATCGGCAGATAACTCCGTAACTTGTCTTCATTAATAATTGAATTACAAGCATTTATCATTAATCGAAGCAGACAACTGCCAAAATCCAAGGGAAATAAATCCATTTGTTTAACCGTGACATGAAATATTTACTTATCGTTAACTGTATTGAGAGGACAAATAACATGGCTCTGTACTTTAGTTTTGATCCAAATTTTACCTTCAGTGACTTTCAGTTCTGAGTAACTCCCATCATCTGTACTTGCATTCAGTGTATGTTGTCTTAGGTTTGAGCAATTTTAATGAATGATTTTTTGATTTACTTCTAAGTCAGTATCTATTAGTTTAGTATACTCAGATGGGTAAATTCGCAAGATTGGATGAAAATAAATTTAACAAATTTATGTATGAGTTGCACTTAATTTAAAATTTTGCTTTCAATATGAAAGAAGTAAGGAACAGAAATAAATATGAATAGAGCACTGATCTCGCATGTATAATTAAATGCATGCAGCAGCAGTGGCGGATAGATCATTTTTTGATTTGTGAAAGTAATATAGATAACTTTCATAAATTAAAAAGAACTGATATCAAGTCGTAATAAGCGTTCTTTGTGAATTTGTGTAATATAAATTTGTCATCTAAAGAATAAAGTTGATATCTCTATGTATATACATTAATATTTTTAGAGGTGATAAACAATTTCCAGTTTACGTTTGGTGTAGACTGACTCAGCATTTTAGTAAGAGTAGACAATAGAAACATTTATACTCTGATAATTGACAAAAAATCAATGCAATAAACTGGAGGTCGACAAATTATTTTATAAGCAAGAAAATATTTTCATGCATATATTCCAAGCTCGTACTGTTAGCACTACTAAGCACTGAAATGGAAACGCAAAGAAGAATTTGAGTCATATTTATTGTCAGTTAAATAAATAATTGAGTCACTGCAAGTGTAACGCTTCGTTAAAGTAGTGGCACGTTTAACTTTTGATCTGGAACCCTTATTTATCTCTCCGACTGATACTTATCTAAAATTTCTCAAAGTTTATTTTTGAAGTCAAATTTCCACCAAAATTCGGGAGGTAAGAGTTAGTGAAACATTTGAAAGTGACTTTGATTTGTTCCTCGAGTACAATCTTGATGCATTTCAGTGACTACAGAAATGGATTTAAATTTTCAACCAATGAATACTTTGCATTTACTCTTTCAGAAGATAAAATGACGTCGCCTGTATTAAATATTGTTAATTTCATTTCAACGCAATTTCCTCTCCCAAGATTATTGATATCTAAATGAGCTAATGCTGACAGTAATTTCCGAATAATTAATATACGTTACTTCTCGTACAGTAAACTTTTGTTCTTCAGTGAAATAGTAGTTCCTACTTTTAAAGGATGTGATAGCAAATCGGAATGTTAATTTAAAGTTATTTCATTTCGCTCCGTAAATATTTCTTTATTAATAAATGATGCAAGTAAAGTAGTTTATAGTCTTTTTAGTTAATGAAATCTATGTTTGTATAGAAAGCATTGATGGCTGAAATTGTTTCCGGCAATTCTATAGAAGAAAAGGCAATCGTAGGAAGTTCTGAAAACGTTAGAAAGTTTTGAAAACAAGTTATGAGATGGGAAGTTTGCTATAGGTTTCATTGCTTAGAAACCGGTTTCAAGCCTCTTTTGCTGCAACAGGAGAAACTCTTGATGAAAGAGAAGAGAACAACAAAATTCCGCGGTAGCTTTGGCAATTCTTCTTTGCAACCTTGCAATCACCAGTGGCCATTGCTACCGGTAATGACACTGCACCCTGCAGTACTGCTGACCACTTATTTCTTGTTCTCACTGAAATCTCTCCAGTGAAAGCTGCTTTTGTCATACATAAACACCCGCGCACACATTAGTTCTCTATTTGAATAAAAAGCGGGTAAAGAATGCAAACTTTGAAGTGGGATGAACGATTCGGGAGAATCATTTATAATTTTACAATCAAATCAGTTAGTGGAATTTTCTAGTGTCTTTGAAATGTAAGTTAGCTTTTGGCTTCCTGGAATTGAAATCTGTTTTGCTAGTGCACGTTATTTCTCACGTTTCCATTCTGAATTTCGCTATTATTAGTTACAAAAGTAAAAGATCGGGCGCAATTTAGTGAAAAGAATACATATTTTTAAAGGAATTTAGGAGGAGCGAAATTAAATTTTCAATATTAGGAATTAAATTTCGATTGAACAGAAAGAACTTGCTTTTCGTAGAAGTGCGAAATTTGAAAGTAAGCAAGTAATATGCAAATACTTTTCTTTTTATGCAAAAAAACCCAATGTGTCTTTTTTGTCAACCGCAAAATGAATGTGATTGCAATGAGAGCAAAAGGAATACAAAACAAAGAGGGCATCGATGAGAGAGTGTAGAAATCAAATACTTCCTAGTTGAATTCCAACTGAAACGTTGAATCAGTCACTTCCTGTCTCTCTGTAAAAGTGAAACTTAAAAAAATTATTAGGAGAAAAAGAAACAAATCAATCAGCACTGAATTCATATCACTAAGGTGGTCGAATATGATCGGATGGTCAGAAAGTCAAGCATTGCAAGAAAGTTTAGAAAATTCTCAGCTTTTGATTTAACAATTTTCTTATCTGAGATTAGTATCAGGCAAGTACCGTAGTAGTCTTAATTCCAAATCTCTTTCAGATCCAATTATGATAATGCAGACATTGCTACGAGTAAATGGAACACTCTCTTGCGAATAACTATGAAATTCCTTGTACCAAGTAATTTAATAGTCTGTCGCACATTTCATAACGTTTTAAAAAAATTAGAGCGACCAGTAAATTCCAAAGGATTGCGCAGGCTAAAAGCACAAAAGCGTCAATAACTTACGGATATTAAATTATCACGCAACCGGAGATGCAGGCGAATTTCATGTAATTTTGCCGTCATCGTGTAAATTTAGGTTATCATTTCTGGTGATAAACCAGATGAAGCCTACATGCATCCTCCTCCACCCATACATATCATTAATTTACTACAGAGACAATCAAACGATAACACGTACGCCGCGCTGATCGGTGTTAGTTCCTTGAATGCCTTCAGATTTGAGATATATATATGCAAAACTGGTATATTGAGATGGATGAGCAGCTACCACTGACCAATAAGGAAAGCTCCGTCGTAGTACAAGTCGCTATCGCTGCTGTTGCTGTTGTTGTTGCTATAATTGTTGCAAGAATTGTTAATATAGCAACAGATATATTTTGCTGTTAATGTAGCAGTGATTCAGTCGAATGGTAGACTTTCTCTCAACTTTTACCTTCAATGACAATTAGATGTGTCATTAATATTGAATCAGGATTACCAGTTAATCTTGTTGCCGCTTCTATCGCTCTTTTATTCTCATTGCAACTCTTGCCCTTATTGGCGTTGTATTTCTTGAAGCTTTTTATGCCCACTGTAGGCTTTCAAGCACTAAACAACTTTTTCGAAAAATTTACCCTCACTAACTGTTCAGTTTCAATTATTAAATCGACATTAAGGACATATTTTAAATATATATTTTGCAAACAATCAGAGTCATTTACTAAAATCTATGTCATTCCATGAAACTTCCAATTCTTTATTTTTTTTGAATTTGTAATGTTTAACGACGGTGAAATCAACAATAATGGCAATTAACAATTAATAACATAACACAGATTAATAATAATAATAACGTTAGTAGTTATAATGGCTAATTGTTCAAGCCGACTTTGTTTGCAAATGACTTCAATTTCTAGCATTATTTGCTGAAATTCCTTTTTTAATTTTTTCGCTCATAAATTTGATTTTTGTTATGAAGTCAGTTTGTTTATTTTAGTCGCAAATCTTCAATGAATTTTCATTATTTTGATTTGCTGTTTCATCGTCTTCTTCCACTTTACACTGATTGTTCCATTGATAGGTTTATCTAATAGAGCAAATGCATTGAGGGAAAAATGCTTGAAATGAATGCTGACTTAATCTCACGCAGTTCATGATAATTTTTTACTATTTTTGTTGAACTCCAAAATTGCAAATAGTTTGCTTATTTTGCAGTTGCATTTAACCAGGTCTTGACTCTTAGTCTTGTAAGGGAGCTGTAAATACTGACAAGTTAATTGCTTGCCTATTTTCATAAGCAACTTACTGTCATTATTTTATCACATGAAAAGTGAAATAGATTGATTGTTATCACTATAATAAGTGATATTGACAATGGACAGCACCAATAATGAATGTAAATAAAGCAGGTAATAGTAATAATGATAACAATGACAATATTAATAGAGGAGTGCAAAGGAAATAGCTGTTAAAGTGCAAATTAGTCTGATTGTAGATGGCGAAAACGGTTAGATTTGAAGACGCTGAATTTTGCTTTTAGTGAACGAAAAAGTACTAGATATTTTGAAAAAATTGCATAAATAAGAAACCTATTACTGCTTTAATCAGTTGCTCTGCACGGATAAGATGGCTTCTGAAAAAGAAAGTAAAACCAGAAAGAATTGAACAACACTTTTCATGTTAAAAATAATTAGAATCGGTGAAGTTTTGCTTCTCAGTGCTTAAAAAGTAATTTACTCCTAGTCTCCGTTCATTCTTGTCATTGGAAACAATGATTTAAAATGAGCAAATTTGATCAGTAAATTTGAGAGTATCAAAGTAATCAAGAATTCAAAATTTGAATCTCTTACGTGTAACTTATTCTGCTGAAGACAGATGCTTAGAAGATATTCATCACCTTGATTCGGCTTTCAGCGCAGGTCAAATATATTTCATTCCTTCGTTCTTTCATCAAAGAAATTTAGCAGAAATAAGCTCAGCAAATAATTTATTCTTGCAGTCTTCCAACCTTCAATATTCATCATTCGAGCATCTAATTTCACCTCCATTTGTGCTTAAAATAATTAGCAATCAAGTGCCAGCCTTTGGAACTGAACGAATTTTGAAGAAGATCAACTTTATATTCTGCGGCATAATCCCCACTGGAAGCGGTTGATAAACGTTTGCTAAGCATTTGTCGTCAGCAGAATTTCCGCAATCTTTCTCAGTGGTTTTCGGTAGCGATTTCGGAATTATGCATGCATTGATTAATTAAATGAGGATAAGAGTGAAATCTTGATGAAATGAAAGAACGAAGGAAAGAGAAACTAGGGTATATACAGTAAAGAGTTTTGCCGGTAAATAAGGTCCTTGGGCGCGCGTGGATATACGCACCCATTCCGCACCTCGCGCACCGCGGGCTTATCGAAGTAGGTCTTGTTCGCCCCCTCCCCCCGCATCAATTCTTCATCCATGACTCTCCGACTCTCTCTAAGCAATATCAACAACCATTTTTCTGCAATGGTCAACTCCTCAACTACACCTTATTTATTGTTTTGTCCTCAATTCTGTCAAACTATCCAACTATTATTGCCTCTGTTAAGCCCTTATTATTGCAGTAAAAATGATTAAAATAAAAGTTAGACTAACTTTATTCATACTCTGTATTATTTTGAGTTGATTTTGCAATCAAGAACGTACAAAAACAGAATTTATTAGCTTTATTTTCACTTTAAAAGTGCGAAATTAGAAATTTAGGTAGTACTACTATAATTATAAAATAAAATTTATGTTGTACTGCTCACTATTACTAATGCTAAGCTTAACTGCTTGTCAGTAGCAGGATATGAAAGTTAAATGTGGTATTAGCTTGAAATGGCTTAATTTCCAATCAAGTTACCTGAGTATTAGAAAAAATATATCCTAAAAAATCACGTAAATTTAAAATCATGCCGCTTAAATTGAAAGTAATAATAGAAAAGTGTTTCTGAGGCAAAACTAGTTTCTTTAGATCATCATCACCTTGAACAGAAATATGATCCCAAATTTTCAAAATGATTTTTGAGAAATTTAGCCGATTGATATCTGGATGTCAGCTAGAAATCGCGAAACGTGTTCAAGATTGGAATAATCTTATATCTGAAGTGCTTATCAGCAATTCAACTGTAAATAATTTTTATCAGCTTGACTATACTTGCATATTTATTAGCCAGTTGTTCAGCACTGTTTATTATTTTCCTTTGTTTCATGATTTTTAGTAGTTTATTAGTTTTTTTCTCTAGATTTGGAATAGTATTTTCGCAAATATATTTTGATGACAGTACATGCATGACAGACACTTTGCTTATTTTCTGAATATCTTAATTTTTTGTTTTTTGCCAAGTAGAGAGCATGACAAACTTCAAAATTTTTCAACACATCTTCATGTTCCTCAAAAATACTTTCAACACCGTCAAATGCGTATTTATTGTGAAAGTCCCAATCTTACGAGCTCACTTTTTCCCCTCTACAGATCATTCATTAACTTTATCGCTGCTGAATGAGTGATTTCAAATCAGTTTGAGACATAACTACGCATTTTGAAGCAAAAGTCTGCACAGAATGTAAAGGAATTCATTGCAACAGTTAATTGCAAAAAACAAAAAAAGCACAAAAGCATGCGCGATGCGAATTTTTATGCTATTAAACATCTACAGCAGCATGCGTTCATTGTTGGTTTTCTAAAATTTGTTTCATCTTGTCGTTCCACTGAAGTTCAGTTAATTAATTAGCACTTGCAAATACCTTTACTTTCAAACAAAAATTATTCTGAAGTTATAACAGATCCCAATCTTACGAGCTCACTTTTTCACTTGCGAAAAACGATAATTTTAAGTTCAGTTATTTCATCTGAAATATTGTTAATTTATGGTTGCAAATTGCCGTTTACCATCAGAGTCTGTCGCTTTTTAATAAAACTAATCAGTTATTTCAGCAGTTCCGTTTATTTGGATGATAAGTGAACGCCAAGTGATCAAATTATATTCCCAATTAATGAGTAGCAGAACATACTTGAAAATATAGTGTCTTTTGGAATTTGGACAGTTTTCAAATAATGGATGCATTAATCCTAAATGCTGGTCATTCGCAATTAGAAGAACAGCTAAAAATTGCTGCGGCTTGTGGCATTGCAGAACGGCAGAACGGAATGAAACCGGAGCGTTGTGATATTACAACGGTCATGACAACGGAAGATAATAGTGATGACATAATGATAGCAGTTGCTGAAGATAATCATTCAGGTTTGCATGATATTATCATATTTAATGCACGTCACGTGATATTCTTTCCTTTTTTAAACAATTCTTGAAATACAGAAAAATCACAAAATTGAAGTCCCGCAGAAATAAGTGACTTGCTCCCATTTAAGCAGTTCTCACATTATTGGCTTTCTTGATTTGCTTTCAACGCAAACAATAATTTTTCAATTAGCTCACTTACTTTGCTCAAGTTTTATTAACAAACATAAATTTAAAATTGCTTGAAATGAATTCGATCAAATTTTTAATCTTCGTTAGTTTTTAGATCTTAAGTTTCTATAAAAAAGCATCAAATTTTTTATCAGATTACTGCACTACAAGTTTCAGAACATCTACTGTCATGCCAATATTGTTATGGAAAGTTTTTTGAAATCTATTTTCGTCCTAATATGCGATCACTTTTTCAGTTCATAGCAATTACAGCTATTAACCTTTCTTTATGACCTATCAGCTATGAAATGTCTCTTTTCTTTCTTTATAATTCTCGTTAAAATAGACCAGGAAATACACTTCTACTTGCTTGTTGTTGAAAATTACACTTCTTCAGTTTCAGTGGAAGGAAAATTTGATCAGAAACACATCGTGCATATATAGTAGATTAGATTCGCAATAGAGAATTTAAATTACTCTTTAAAAGATTTAATGAATCCAATTTTTCATATTTACATTTTCCCTGTGAACGCTTTTCTAATTTATAAAATGCACTAAAGTACAAGGCACTGAACAGTTTAGCGCACTTCTTTTTCACAGTACATGAATGAATACTCCATGCATGTTCTTCTGTAGCTGAAATTAGCATCTGCTACTCCACGCAAAATACTTGCTTGAATTTTTTCACTTCACAAAAAAGCATCAATAGATGAAGGGTGAAGCTTCCTGTTTTTTTCAGCTAAAGCAAATACCATATTCTAATAGAAAAGCAAAATTTGTTCAAGCTCTCTTCTACCACGGAAAATATCAGTATTTTTTTGAAGTTTGCTGAATTTTTAAGAATTAGCAGTAAGAGCAAGGTTTTTCTTGGTTATTGAAGTATAATTTTCTTGTTTATTGAACAATTGATCTTTTCAGAGTAATTTCTAATTTTTGGGCAATTATAAGTAGTATAAGAAATTGATTTAGAAAGTTTTCTTAATTTTTGTGTCATTATTTAATTAATGCATTGCTTTTATCACTGATATTTATTATTATTTAGTGCAATCAGTTACATTTATTCACCAGTCCATTGTTTTCCTAGCGGTTCCATTTACGATAAATGTCTTCCAAGCGACCGTTTTAAAAGTACCAACATTGCAAAAATTGGGCATTTTGTGAAGATTCACAAATGTTTGTACTATTTTCCAGCTTCAAGTAATAGCTCCAATTTACTTATAATCAGTGAGACTCATAATCATTTCAGATTACTTTTGTTATTGTTGCATTTGCTCGTTTTTTGAACGGGATTTCGAGTACTTAAGTTTCGAAAACTAAGAAACTACTAGCGCACTTTGTTGCCACTGCTGAAATATTCGTAAATTTCAATCTAATGACCCCAAGAAGGCCGATTTAGAGTCAAATGATAAAATGAAGCCTTTGTGAGGCATCGACTAGAAAAAACAATAAAACAAAAATTCACATTCTAGTTTTTTGCTGTTTTTTCCGGTCAGTTGACCTAGTGACCTGTATATTGATGTGTGCTACTGCTATTTTCCTATTGCTATTTGCGTCAAATTATGGTGAACAAGAGAGAGAAGGAATAATCATCAGTTGATCTCAATTCGAATTCCAATCCAATTATTTCAATTTCCATCTAGAATTTTCGTTTCTCCTCCACTAACTCATCAATTTTCTACTTCTTTCTTGACTTCAGCGTTACTCTAAAAATGAAGAGAAATTTTCATCAGAAGTTGTTAATAATCAACAATTCAATTCTGTAATTAGATTTGATGTGTGCAGGCAAATCACATGCAAGCAAAAAATGGCATGTTTAGTGCATAAAAGAATAAATGGATGTATGAATGGCTGAAACAAAAGTAATTGGTTTTACCTTTGTTGCTCAATCACTGGAATCCGTCTATATTTCATATTTACATAGTGAAAGGAAATGACTTCCAAAGAACTGATAAAAATGATTAATATTTGAAAATGCTTGCATTCAAACAACTGTAGTCGAACTGTTCTGCAACAAAAACCATAAAGTATTTTAACAAGTATAGAATATGATTACAGTAACTTGACATCTTACTGAGTAATGTTTTCATGAATCAGAACTGTTACATAAGGCAAAAGGGACCAAATATTGTCTTCTCTAAATTTGAATTGGACTGGTTTGAACAAGTGAATGAAATGCAGAATAATAATTTTTGACGATTGAGACTCATTTTCAGAATTAGAAAACTTTGCCACAAAATCATTTTGCAGTTTAGTATCTTTCTTAGCTATAATATTTGCTTTCCTTCGTGGGACTGATGTCAAACATGACAAGTAGTATGAAAATAATTTCTTCCTTGGGAGTATATTTTGTCTTGCATTAGAATACCGTGAAGTTATTTTGACATGAGCAATTTTATGACATGTTGTTGTTAGTTAATAAGCAAGTGAAATGAGAATTAGCGTTTCGAATATCTGCAAAATTAAGATGATCGCCACACTTGACATGTATTATTTCTTATACAAATATAAGGAAAAATGCTCCTTACTTGAGTATGTAAAAATATTTAGCGCTCGAAAAAACAATTCATCAAAAATTACTGCTACTCTCTAGTGAATTCTGCCTGTAGTGCGAAGGCTTCAGCCTTTAATTAAATGCCAGTACGCGTTAAAAACATCTCTTATTTTAGACAAACGTATATAAACATATGAATTAATGATTGATTGATTCATAACAATTAATCAAAACTCTGTAAACATATTTTTGTCTGCTTTGAAACTTGGTTTTTGATACAGAAAAGTAATTTGATTTTTGCTATTGGAGAAAATGAGATTTTCGCTAATTAGGCAGTAAAACATTAAGTTTTTAGCTACATTTTATTACATATATCAAAAATGATATAATATAATGATCAAACGAATTTCAGTTTTCTCAATCAGGAACTGGAACTAAGAAGAAAATACATCAATGACATGATAAGCAGAATAGGCAGAATTTTTGAGCAATTTTAAGATCTAATCTGTAAGAAGTGAAATAGGTGAAAAAAAATGAGGGAATATCAGAATTTGAATATGTAAATTTCAGGTACTGTAGAAAACTCTATGACTTCATCGTCATCCGACCATGATAGCTTAACTGGTTCACCTCCTCCTCCAAAGCAAGCTTTGATGGATGAAGATTTCGTCAAAACTTTGGAAGAACTTTCTAAACAGGTCAATATTAATTTCAAACGCAGAAGTGAAAGTTTGACCGAAAATAATAATTCATTACATGTAAATACGTTTCTAAACATTATTTATATTTTTATTATTGTTATCAATTATTGGACTGTATCATTCACGTGCAACATTCAAGCATTTTAATGATGACAATTTATTAAGTATTCACAAAGTATTCAAAAGAATGTTTTCCTAAATTTTGCGATTATTCATATTGCTAATATAGACACAAAACAGAAAATTCATAGAAATAAATCGCAATTTATCATTGAAAATTTGCTTCAAAATTGCGTGTAACTTGGTTAAAGTATTTATTAAAGTTGTAATTTTAGCAGAATTCTCGATTGCTTGTTAATGGAGGACAAGCTATCACATCTCAGCATGGTAATTTCCGAACTGTCCTCAAAAGACCTGATTTGAAAGGTTAATGATATTTATATTTGAATAGTTGCAGAATTGCTATTTGGTTAATTTACATAAACATCAAAACTAAATCATATTGTGGAAACTATTTGCTTTCATATGTAGAAGAAGCAGTTCAGTTTTATACAGTTTTTATCATATGATACTTTTTGTATTAGCCGAATCAAGTGACTTTGCGAGTTAACAACCTTTCAGAGTTCAGATAATTCGAATATTTTTAATTAATTTCGTGATTAAATAGGAACTTTTCGATGTTCGATATGCCAAAAAATCTTCTGCCATTCGTCATCACTAAGTCGTCACCGAATGCAAGCACATTTTAAAAGTTATACTTGCACGCTATGCAGGAAAGAAATCACAAGTTTGTTTTTATTTTTGAAAAATAAATAGAAATGTTCGCACCATCGAATTCTTAGAATATCGAAAAGAAAATGAAAAACTGAGATCGAAAGGTAATTGTTATCAGAAATTATCTGTACTGCACTCATTCATCCCACAGTTTTTCCTTCTTGTTGATTAACTTTTCTTTCTTCTTTTATTTGCAAAATGACATTAAATTTTTTGTAATTTGGCGGTAAAAACAAATGATTACGAGCAAAATTGACCTAGAATTCACTAGTAACTAGAAAAATTTTTTTGTTAGTTTGTGTTACTTAGTTTGTCAGTATTAGGTTTGATTGATAGAAAAATGAAGGCAAACTTTTTTACTAATTATTTTCATAAAATTCGCTAATTTGAAGACTTCGTCAAACATATAATCTATTACTTGAAAACTAGTATTAAGCTATACCACCTTCAAGAATACTACAAACTATCACCTGCAGTTCGTGCTGTAAGCATCATTAATATTTAGCATAACGATACCAGAAATATCTATAAGTATCCAAGCACTAAACTGTATTAAATTATGTTTTAACTGATAAGTAACAATCAGATTTGAACTATATGCTTATCATTTTGAACTAAAATATGCAGATAAAGATTTACAGAATGCTTTAAGAAGTTTTTTATATAAATATCAGCTGACGTTTTTACCGTTTCAAATCTACGAATTTACTTTGAAAGCAATTAAGGAGAAGTCAAAGTAAGAGTAGCGGCCTAGCAATATGAATAATTATCACACGGCTAATTTATGCTTCATTTACTGCGAGCAGACTCAGTTTTTTCGGTTTGCAGTTGTTTTCTACAAAATGCTGATAACAAGTGCATCAGTATTGCATAAATAAATGTGATTGGCTAATAACTCTAATTAAAACTTTTATTCGCTAAGTTTTCGGAATTTCAATTATTGTCTATAGAGTTTTATTGAAAAATAGACAGGCAGTATTATCATGATTGTCTGATTTATTCTCTTCTCGTTTCAACAAATTTAGAATCAAGTTTGAAATATGATGTTGAAGCAGTAAGGTGGACCCAAGTAGTAAACTGAATAAATTTATGCTGGTCAGAGTGATGTGGACATGACCTTTTTGCTGTGAAGAATTAGCATGAGAATTACAACGTTGCCCAGTAGAACATCTTTGCAGCTTTAATAAAGTTAAACTAAAAAAAGCAGCATTATGAAGTGTGAAGTTTGCCTCTGTCTTTTTCCTACTGAAAAGTTAAGGTAACTAAAAAAGTTGTCGGCATTATTCTGGTACTTTTGATTTTTATCAGTACGCAAAGCAAAGCATCCACGTTGTGAGCTGTGTATTCACATTTGGTGAGTGGATGAATTGTAGCTTTGTTAATGATAAGCATTGTGTCATTTTCCTCATATGTCAAAAACTGAACAACCAACTTTTTGGAATTTGATTGATTAATCATAACTTCTATATAAATCAACTTGCTTTCCTCCTTTTTCACATATCATATATGTATTTAGCCGAAAATCATAATTTTCTTGAACATGATAAATAACATCACAAATATAAACTGAATTATTTGAAACATTAATTGGTATAATTCGATACTTTCATTGCATTTGGAAAAAGTAGTCTGCACTGTTCAAAATGTACTGTTTTAATGTTAGCTTAACTTTCGTTTGCTAAACTTCGAACATTTCCTGTCGCTTACAAAAATAAAGGATTTTGTATCCTATCCCTTACAAAATAAGTTCGATGAATTAGTTTGTAATTATGTTGTCCATAATCAAAATTTTTCGTGTTTACGAATATCTACGTTAATCTAAGCACAATTACTCTGTCATCACTAAAAAATTGTAAATTTCAAAAGCAGTATTAAAAACCATTCTATTATTTTGTAATTTGCCTAAGTGAACTTAAACTTATTGGCTCAAAGAAGGTAGCAAGGCTTAATGTAGATACCGAAATTGTAAAATTTTTAAGAAACGAAAAAGATTTCAGGAAATTGAAAGTGAAGAACGTCAGTAATTGTTTATTTACTGGAAAAAAATCAAAATTAAGAAAAAAGTTCCAAAACTTGAAATGAATTTCCAGTCATTTGAGTTGTTAGTATTCATTTTACTATTTTCTTAATTTTTTGACCTTATTTTGATTTCAGTTTCAGTCTTCCGGTCTTTTTTGCTGACCCCTTTCTCTTCTCTTGTACCATTTCGACCCTTTCACCTTTACCTCGTTTTTCTTTCCAATTATTAACTCAAACTTTTCTGCAAATTTGAGTACTAATTAATTTATCCAGTCGAAAGAATAATGTGTTGATCTCAATTTAGTTTTCCATTATTTTTTATCGCAACTTGAAAATATCTAAAATTGAAAAATTAATCAACTGAAAACAAATAGATGACAACTGCATAATGTTTATTTCGTGCCACTAAAAGCGTGTATAAAAAATTAATAACGATAAAAACAAAGTAAGAAATAATTCAGATTTTTCAATAGATTCGAAATAACACAAATATCACATTTTGTTATTCGGCTTTCGATTTCAACTTTTTAAAAATAACATTTACTAATAATTTAACAAAATTAATTTATCGGAGCGTACCTTTGGATAATAATTCATCAACTTACTAGTTGTAGCAGATCCTTACAAAGAATTTATCATTTTATTGCAAGGAGATATCATTATATAATTCCGTATATAACGAACTCATCAAAATCTCTTTATATGACCAATAATGGCACTTTATTAATTTACATTAATTCTAAAACATTGTTCATCATTACAAATTGCAATTAGTAATAGCATGTAGATTTGGAATTACTCTATATATATAATTCAGATTTTTCAATAGATTTTATTTATATTTAATTCCGATTTTTCCAAAACATTGTTCGTCATTCACTCATATATGAATAAGCACTCATATATATATAGCATGTAGATTTGGAATTATAATAATCATATATATATAATATATATGAGTGCTTAATTCAGGAGCACCTCGTAATTAGGACGGTGGCTAGCATTATCATGATCATCATAACTATTTCTGTCGCTGTTATCACTACTATGACGATTACCAATAATAGACTTTAGTAGAGCACTATTGGGCTTAAGGTAGGCACATATTGGCACAAAACCCCTAAAGGAATAAAACTGGCTGTGTTTAGTTATTTGAGATTTTTCATTTGGGAAAAAATCCAGTGGAGAAAAGCTTGTTTTCTTTTATTTCTATATATTACCTAAACGGAACTAGGTACTCTTGTGGTACCTCGCGGTACCATTCAGAGCTACCATTTTAGATGCTATCATCACTTAAAAACCATTTATGCAATTATTGATGTCTATAAAATTGCTTCAAATATGTTTGCCTTTCATCACACATTTACTAATCAACTAACATTACAAGTGATACAGAAATTACCAAAAATTTTTCAAGAAAAATGGAAAAGTACGCTAAACGATATTCAGCTGAAATTTGAAAATATCTTATATCTGAGAGTAAATTCATTAATATTTTGGACTTGCTGACTTTTTCTCAAAGGAGATCGGAAATTGTGTGCCTTGACAGCTTGAATCTATAGCGAAAAATACGTCAGACTATCACGCGAGTGAAATGAATTCTTCCTTCAGTCTGCAAGATGTTCTTTTTGAGAATAAAATTGAACTTGAAAACCTGAATGAATATTAAATGAATTGGATGCGAAAGTGCGTATAAGTTTTT